CAAATCTAGCACCTTTACATTGCTGTTTCACTAGTCTAATCTATAAAGAATCACAAGCGCAGTTGAAAAATCTTCCGAAAGCAACCGAGGGCGGTCCCAGCGCGCGAATGCAAATCAAGAACCTTTACATTGCTGGTTCACTAGTTACTGGAGTGAAATTTCGGTCATTATTAAGGAAATTCTGTCATGTCAGTTGGCAACAGCGAATAATTTTTATAGCGTATTCCGTAGAGCTAGTAAGAAATTCAGATAAGAAAAAAGTCCAAGCTTATAGCGTGCATGGTTGAGAGGATCAGTCACGAAAAGAAAAATTTGAAATCGACAATGATGAAAATATAATGAACATTTTATTCCACCAACCGTCTTTTGTCGACGCAAGGAATCCAAGTGGTTGTTCTTGCTTATTCAAATCGGCAGGCCGTAAGATGTCTAGTTCGGGACCACCTAAAATGGAATTTGAAACTAAAACAACGAGAAATGGAATGATTACCGGAATCATGCGCCAACATGATGGTACCAGCAGCCATGCCTTCAACGACGACGATGCCAAAGTGTTCATTCCACATTGTATGTATGGAGATCATCGACTCCTATAAATGATTGCTGGTACAGTAATTACTACACGTAAGCTGCAAATTTGAGAAATTATGGAAATATTATTCATTTTGCACTAAAAGTAGTAAACTAAACAAGCCTTCGTCTCTCAAATACCAAAATGACCGTGATGACAGCTAATGGCAGATTATTGATCAACAGTCTTACAAAAGCAAATCTCCTTGCCCGTAAAACATGCGAAACTACCCGTTGCTGATCTAAATGCAACGTCTCCTCTTCGTGATTCTTTCTTCCATTATCTTATGTGATATTAATTTTGAGCGCTTGTCGGAGAATGATACTTTCAAATCAAAAAAATGAATAAAAATGAATATGAATGAAAAAAAAGGAATTGAGAATAATCAAAAATGCACATGATCAGATACTGACCGAAAGAGCATCTAATAGTTCCTCGTACGCTACATTGAGTTTCCACTTCACATTCTCAGTCAAGTCCCAGGCTTTTGCGAGGCCCTTCAACTTCTGCACCCGATTCTGATCTTCCGCATTTCTGCATCCTCCAGCGATAGTCAATTCAACCTTAACGAATGAACATGTGATATCACGCAAAACTCTCAGGCATCTGATATGTGATATTCAGCAGATGAGAGAAGACAATCTAGTAATGCGGACTCTATCAACGCGCAAGCGCTTCCTGCATACTTTGAATTCTTGAAATTAGATTCACGTGAGTTTTATATGGAAGATAGGCCACAAGAAACAAATTTGCCATACTCAT